GATGATCTGTACTCCTCTGAGCACAGGTGCAAGAAGCTGTTCTGTCTTCTAGTAGAAGAACCCGAAGAGGATGAGGATGAACCTGCAGCATCAGAACCAGAGATCTCCCTCCACGCCATCACGGGGATCAAAACTTCCCAAACCATGCAACTAAGGGCGCGGATAGCAGGGCAACCAGTTCGTATTCTCGTAGACTCCGRTAGCACCCACAACTTCAGTGAACAAGCTGCCCGTTGGTTAGAATTACCGATGGAAATCAAGCCGCAGTTACAGGTAGTCGTGGCTAATGGGGAAAGAGTTCAGAGCCCCGATATCTATATTCAGGTCGGAGCAGAATCCTTCCGGGCTGATTTATATGTACTCTCCTTGGATGAATTTGACATCGTCCTGGGAGTCAAATGGCTAATCACTCTAGGGCCCATCCTATGGGACTTCAGCGCCCTGACAATGACCTTCCACTTGGATGGGAAACCGGTTACATGGCAGGGGACCAAAATAAGAACAAAAACGCAGCTGCACACACTTCAAGGTGAGGACTCACGCGCAACAGACATGGAGAGGCTCCTCACAGATTTCTCTGCAGTATTCAAAGAACCCAAGGGGCTCCCACCTTCCAGAAACTGCGATCATCGGATCCCTCTGATAGCCGGATCGGATCCCGTCGTCGTCCGACCCTACCGTTACCCACATCGACAGAAGGATGAAATAGAAAGGCAGTGCGCGGACATGTTACAGCAGGGGATCATCCGTCCCAGCCGCTCCCCCTTCTCCTCTCCGGTTCTGTTGGTACCCAAGCAAGATGGGATTTGGAGATTTTGTGTGGACTACAGAGAACTTAACAGTCGGACGGTCAAGGACAAATTTCCTATCCCAGTCGTAGAGGAGCTATTGGATGAACTCCATGGCGCTCAATACTTCTCAAAACTAGACCTACGGTCGGGTTACTTCCAGGTCCGAATGACTCCCAAAGATGTAGAGAAAACGGCCTTCAGAACACATCATGGCCATTTCGAATTCCTGGTTATGCCATTCGGCCTCAGCAACGCTCCTTCCACATTCCAGGCCCTGATGAACGAGGTATTTCACTCCCACCTCCGCAGATTTGTCTTGGTGTTCTTTGACGACATCCTAGTCTATAGCAAATCGTGGGTAGAACACGTGCAACATCTACGGATCGTTCTTGAACTCCTGCAACAACACCAACTCTTCCTTAAGCGATCCAAATGTTCCTTTGGGGAACGTCGGGTCCTTTACTTGGGACATGTGATCAGCGGGCAAGGGGTCACTGTGGATGACTCCAAGATTCAGACAATCAGAGAATGGCCCAGACCGCAATCCGCCAAGGCTCTCCGCGGGTTCCTAGGGCTGACAGGCTACTACCGCAAGTTCATACAAAATTATGGACTTTTGGCGGCGCCACTAACCAGCCTGCTCAAGAAAAATGCCTTCCCCTGGGATAGTACAACCGATGCAGCCTTTGAGAGTTTAAGGGAAGCCCTCTCCACCACGCCGGTTCTACAGTTGTCAAACTTTGATCTCGAGTTCATGGTGGAATGTGATGCATCCGGCACCGGCATTGGCGCCATACTACAGCAGCAAGGACATCCAGTCGCCTTCTTCAGTCACAAACTGGCCGACCGCCACCTTAAGTTACCCGCCTACGAATGGGAACTGATTGGACTGGCAAAGGCAGTGCAGCACTAGAGGCCATATCTGTGGGGAAGATCCTTCGTCGTCAAGACGGACCATTACAGCCTCAAATATTTGCTGGAACAACGGCTTACCACCTCGCCGCAACAGCACTGGGTCAACAAACTTCTTGGGTTCGATTTCTGGGTGGACTACAAGGTGGGAACCTTGAACCGTGCCGCAGATGCCTTGTTTCGCCGAGAAGAAGACAATATGCTGCTCCATGCGATCTCACAGCCCCGAGCACCCTGTTGGAAGACATTCGAAGCATACTGCCACAATCACCAGAGTGGAACGAGGTGGTCCAGAAAATACAAGCCGGAACGACCAGCCCAAACTGGTCCATGCACGACGGGTTGGCACTATACAAAGGGCGGATTTATCTCCCATCCGACCGCCCTTTAATTCCCTYCGTCATCTCCAACATACACAACTCCACGCATGAAGGCGTCCAGAAAACCTTGCACCGCATCCACGCGGACTTCCACTGGCAAGGTATGAAGGCTTCGGTGCAGGACTTCATTCAGAACTGCTCTATGTGCCAACAACAAAAGTGGGAAAACTTGCACCCAGCAGGCCTTCTCCAGCCACTTGCACTCCCAACTCGGATCTAGGCAGATATTTCCATGGACTTCATTGAGGGCCTACCCAAGGTTGGAGGGAAGTCGGTCTTATTTGTAGTGGTGGACCGTTTTTCCAAATATGCGTATTTCCTTCCCTTAGCCCACCCTTACAGCGCGGTCTCAGTCGCTCACGCCTTCTTCACCCACATCTTCCGCTTGCATGGGCTACCCGAATCCATCGTAAGTGACAGAGACCCGATCTTCACTAGCACTTTCTGGAAAGAGCTATTTCGTCTGCAGGGGACAGCCCTGGCCTTCTCCTCCGCCTACCATCCGCAGACTGATGGCCAAACGAAGGTAGTAAACCGAACAATAGAGATGTACCTCCGTTGTTTTGTGGGAGACCAGCCCCGACGTTGGGTGGAGTACCTTCTGTGGGCCGAATACTGTTATAACACCTCTTACCACTCCTCTCTTGGCATGACTCCCTTCCGGGTTGTTTATGGTTGGGACCCCCCCCCCCCGTCTATTATCTTACGAACCCGGTTCAACACGGTTGGAAGAAGTGGATCGCAGCCTACAAGATCGTGATACCCTCCTGGCCAAAGTCTCCTTGCGCTTACAGCAGGCTCAGGCACGGATGAAGAACGCCTACGATCAGCGCCACCGAGAAGTCACCTTTGAGCTGGGACAGTTTGTTTGGTTGAAGCTCCAACCTTATCGGCAGCTCTCCCTCAGACGCAGAGCTCCCCCTAAGCTGGCTCCCAAATTCTATGGGCCCTTCAGGGTTTTACGATAGATCGGGAAGGTTGCATACCAGCTCGAGCTACCGGAACACAGCAGACTCCATGATACCTTCCACGTGTCCCTACTCAAGCCTTTTACAAGGACTCCTCCTGATCAAGTACCTCCCCTACCCCCCTTGAAGGACGGCAGACCCATTCTCTAGCCTCGGGCCCTTGTCCGATCCCGCATCAACCGAGGAACTTAGAGGTCCTTGTGGAGTGGGATGAACTACCATCAGCGGAAGCCACCTGGATCCCCTGGTCGGATCTTCACAACGCCTATCCGGATCTCGAGCTTGAGGACAAGCTCGTTGCCCAGGAGGGGTGTGATGTTATGGATGCATTCGTAGGAAAGGCTTGCCACCACCGCCGGCAACAGCAGTAAGGAGGGGCCCACACGACAACTCATTAGGGGGCCCAACCTTATCTTGCCACGACAGCTATGCTCGCCAACTCGCCACCAGCTTATATTATCCCTCATCCCATATCATTATCTTATCTTATGATCTTAGTAAGAGTTTTGTTACCACCAGAAGTAGGAGTTTGTTTACCATTGGAAGTAGGAGTTTGAGTTTGATTTAGAGAGGAATTATCCTAGCCTAGCCGAATACAACAAGGAACCCCCCTCTTGTAATCTCCTATTTAAGGAGCTGTGAATTAGAATAAAGCATTCAGTTTTCCAGTAAAGAGAAGAATGAGGAGAGTTTGGGTGGTCTCTTGGACAAATCACCCATTCGGTTTTCCACAATAGGGTCTGCACGCAAGGGAAGGCGCAAGGGGAAGCAAGAGGTTCTTCCCGTGGACCGACCCGTGACGAGATCCTACACCCAGGCCCATAACAGCCTGAATTTCTGCATTAACTGAATCCCCTACTCTTATAGGGCCAGAAATAACTGCCCACGAAAAAGTTGATGAATTCATTTGAATGGTGAAAGTCTACTTCAAATCCAACAGGTACGCTACAGATTTCTAAATGGATGAGCTAGTACCTTTGAGTGGAATTTCTTTCCACATCATACAGCTAATACACAAAGGTGATCCTTTAGCTTTATAAAATGTGGATACAACTTTGTGGAGCCATATCTTGGAGTTTATGACAGGAAAAGAAGAGCCAAAACTATGAAGCCAAGGGCAGATTCCCAGTGTTGAACAAGTAAAATGATAATAGCTACAAGCAAATTAATTACTGGAATTAACAAATTCAACTTAAGTAAAAAATTTAAGAAAAGCATAAAACCTCATTGCTATGAGTTTTGACAAAATCCTAGCTAAGGGTGGCTACCAGATCATGATAGATGGATGTCGGCTGCTACATCAGAGATGTGAGTGATATCTTTGTTGATGAGGTTGAATTTTTCATTCCACCATAATTGAGTTCTGCTGAGTCAGTTTCCGTTGGGTCAATAGGGAAGGATGTTGGAAGATATTATTTATCTTGTTATTCTTCTTTATTAGCATAAGGGCCATGTTTTGTGCTTTGGTTGTGGCCCTATGCTGTTTTGCTGTATGATCCCTCTCCCTAGGTAGGTCCCGTCCTCTATCTCTCTATTCTTAATCAGTATAAAAATAACTTTATTCATCAAAAAAAAATCAGTATAAATAACTTCTTGGTTTTTAATGCTTACTTGATTAATAGATGCAAACAATAGGGCCTTTTAAGAATGGCAACAAGTCCAACTAAAAACAGCTCAGTAAAAGCTAGAAATGTAAGGTCAAGCAAGTTAGGAACTTGGGATTATTAGTTTTTGACATATTCCAACAGTACACAACTTCCATTTAGTAAAGTTTAAGTCCTCACAAACCTAAAACTAAGACTACATGAATAATGTTCCTCTCACAAGTTGTGAATCAAAGTTCAAATGTGAATTCATCATCATCTAAGCCATGTCCCAGCTACATGGCATTGGCTACATGACTCCAGTTCCAATATCAGTTACTGTTCAGTGCCATATTTTGTTGTTAAATTATGAGTCTTAAATTGTTTCTTACTACTTCAAGCCACACTCTTTTTGGTCTGTCCCATAGCTCTTCTAGACCCTTCAACTTGTAACAAATCAATTCTTCTTACTAGTGCTTGTATATGCTCTTCTCTGCACATGACCAAACCATCTCAGTGTACTTCCCTCTTTATCACCTATTGGAGCTACTCCCAGGTTCCTTCAAGTAAGTGAGTTTCTGACCCTATTCTTTCTGCCTTTCCCACTCGTCCATCACTTCAGCCACATTTATTTTATTGACAAAGTCCAACAGTGAATTGAATAAAATAAATCTCTGAGAAGATCTGCATTTCCATATTTGGAATTTAGAATATGATCAACTCTGAAATTTCTGGGGACAAAGCCTCATACAGAACCACAAGGTTCTAGATTCTTAGAAGGTTTTACCTAATTTTTTTCATCCAATTTTAGGTGTTCATTCAAACATCAAGTGCAATTGGTGCCTCAGTGTTTTAAAAGTGCAAGGTGCAAAAAGCGCAGGGGCCAATTTGCACCTGAGGCGCAAGGCGCAAGGCGAGGCGTGCGCATTTTTGAAGCAAGGCGCAAAAATTAAAAAAAAAAAAAMATTAWACATAATATTAATAAAAAATATAAACTTAAATTTTAAAATACATGTTTTAAAAAACCTATTATCTAAAATTAAAATACATAAACATAACATGTAAAGCATATCCAAATGAGAATTTAAAAATAAAATCAAACATATAAAACATTTTCAAGCATATAAAACCCACAATCTCTTTTTTTCCTCAATTGCATTACTTCAAGTAGCTAATGTGATGTAAAGCATATTACATTTCTGATTCTACGATTTGCCTTTATGCCACGCCCCTCGAGGCAAACCCAAACAAGTCCATGTTAGGGCCTCAAATTCTTAGTTCTCACACAAAAAATAATGATTTTATAATTTTAATTGATTTTTAAGAAAATATTTTATTAGGATGAATGAATGAACAACATTAGCAAATAGAATATATTTTATAATTTAGCAAAATTATAAAATCATTATTTTTTGTGTGAGAACTAAGAATTTAAGACCCTAACATGGATTGTTTGGGCTTGCCTTGAGGGGCGTGGCATGGGGGTCYGGGAGCGGAGCCCCCAGCCCAGCTACTAGGTTCAAAAAAAGCAAAAAAGCGCTAAATTTTCAAAAGGCGCATGCCTGGTCTGAGGCATAAGGCGCATCAGGCACACACCTAGGGTATACACCTCGCATGTGCGCCTAGGTGCGCCTCAGACGCACCTTTTAAATCACTGTGGTGCCTCAAAACAAAAAATTGAAGAATGGATCACACAGAAGTGTACCACAGCTACAGTACAGTGATAAAACCAACTATGGGAACTCAATCCATTATGTGGGAATGAATTGCTCATAACTCTTTCCATAAGAAAATAATCAAGTTTTCTTTTCATAACACAAACCAAATTATATCGTATTGTATTATATGATGCCACCATAATTCCCTTCAGTCCTTTTACCCTCCTAAAACACAAAAACGATTGCTAATTGCATAGATTAATCCTATCCAGCTATTATCATGATTATCTAAATCTTAAAAAAAAAAAAAAAAGTCCCCTCCCTCCCTCTCTCTCTCTCTTTATTAAAATGCGAAACAACTGTTGTGTTGTAACATGGAAGATTTGGGACAGAAAAGGGTATTCATATCACTACATTGGCATGAATACCATTAAATGATTTCTGTTAGATAATTTACAACCTGTTCGCATGAAACAACGTGCTGTCTGAATAAATTTAACAAGCCTATCAAGTCGGAGTGACATTCTCATGGAAAAGTGATCCAAAGATAATTCAATCAATCTAAGATCTCAGCTAATATAGTAGAAGAAATATGGAGTAACAAAAATTTACCCCGCCACGAACAGGCTTCCCGGCTTCACCAGTTCCTTTTGATTCCCCAGATTTCTCACTCTCCTCGGAATTAGATTCTACAGGCTTCTTTGGCGCTAGGTTTTCAGGATTAACAGTAGTACTGTTACATATATATCTTTGAACTATAGTGCACGGCTGCGTTCCATAACCTAGATAACTAACCTGTAAAATAAAGCGAAGTACTCAAAGTGGGAAGATATAAGAACGAATTCCATAACATTCTGTTTAACCAATAAATAAAGTTCAACTGAAAGATCGTTAAGAACATATAAGATGACAGACCGATGAGATGGCTGGGTTGGCTCTAAATTGGGGAATGTCCGGGACTCCATGGAAGCGTTGAATGTAGGGAGGCAATGCCTTAATTAGCTTGCAGTGGTGCTGATTGTAGAAGAGGAGACTGCGACGAATGAACCAACAATATTTGTTTCTCGAAATAGCCGACGCCATTGCTAGTACCAAGCTTCTGGTCAGACGGGGAAGGATTCGGAGTTTAACGAAGACGGCGAGTCTGAAAAGAAGAAATGAAGGTTGTAAATCCAGAGGCACCTTTGACCTGCGTCCAGTGCAGCTTAGGCCATGTTTGGGAGTAGGGATGTCAATGGGTTGGGTAAAATGGTAAACCCGTGTTAGGGTCACACACATTCGGCTTTAGGGTCGGATAGGAATCACAATGGGGCGAGTTCTGGGTGGGGATCATATTTTCCGTTCCTATTTAAATCCCCAAAATTTTTTTAAATGACAATATATTTTTGAAAAATAAATATAATAATACAATTATATATATATATATATAATCGGGGTTGGGGCGAGGTGGACATCTCAATCCCCATCCCTGACCCTGACCTCGATCGAGGATTCCTATTAATTCCTATTCTCATTTCTGCCTCGCCAAAACAATACCAATCCCCAACCCCATCGGGCCGGGAAGTCAGGTCCTTGTCAGGGATGGGGAAATTGCCATCCCTAGGGTTGGGTTAGGGTTTTGATTGTTCATCCTGAGTTGGGTTCAATTCAGGTTGGGTATTGAGTGACCCAATGGGCTGGGTCATGATGCCCTTCATGTGTACAACATATTCTTGTAATTTTTAACTTCTAACTCTATAGCCTTAAAACTTAAGATTTATTTACATGTTAATTTTGGTTTTCTTTTTTTTAAAATAGGAAAAATAACACCTTAGAATCTATAAAAACAAGTTTCTAAATTAAATTAATGGATCTTGGGTCTTCAAGATGTATTAACAAAAGTACAATGTCGGGTGGAGTTGGTATCAGATTAGACCTTGTTGGGCTAGGGTTGAGATAAACCTGTGCCAAACCTGACCCATTGGCATTCCCTATTTGGGAGTGCTTTTAGGACGGGCTTTTTGTGTTCTAGAAGGAAAAAAATTCAGATTAGCTGAACCAATGATAACGCCTTACGCCAGTTGTAAAATACATAACCCCATAACAAGGGGTTATGAGTCTCTTGTATTTTATGATTGATGTGGAGTATTATAATTGGTTCCTAGCATGAACAACTATTGTGTTCAGTTAAACCTAACTCTTTAACAAAATAAAAGCTGAAGTGTTTGGCATAGTGGCATTGCATTTCCTTGCATTTTGGGTTGATAAATACAGATTTATTAAAATTATGTATTACCACATCGTATACAAGTGCCATTTCAACTAAAAAAGCTACTTGTGTGTGATAAAAGATCAAATTTGACAGTTTAAAACATTTCAAAATTGAAATTTTAGGTTGAAATAGAAATTTGTATTAATCAACTCAATTCACATGTAAATCAAGTATGGACGATCATTGGCTCAAAAGCCTCAAATGATGTTTGTCCCGGTGAGAGATAGTTCAATTCATAATTGGTGGATAAGAATCACTAAAAATCGTAGTGATAATGATGATCCATTATTTAAAGAGAAATTTATGGTTATTTTGCGAAAATAGAAATGAGAAAGTTTTCAATGTTCCCCATTCTAATCGATATACCTCTTAAATAAAATCTTGTTTGATGAGTGAGTAGGTTTTATTTGAACACTCATAATAAGGTTTGGGCTGCCTATTCGGTGGACTACCCCCCTATGAGGGTTCTATAAAAATTAACTTCGATGCCTCCTATGGGCTTGATGGTTTCTACTCGGTGGCATGTATTGCTAGCTTATTCTATTGGCATAACTTTTATTAACCTAGTTGAAGATTGGGTTGCTTGGAAAGCCCACAACATTGCTCTCCATTTTCACGGCAGGCCCATTATTATTGAAGGTGATTCAATGTTCGTCATCGACTGTCTTCTTCCGAAGGTAAACTTTTTTTGGTAATGAATTTCCTTGGAATTTAGTTTTTCATTTGTTTTTGTGATGAATGGGGTCATGTTGCCCCTCGTCTTGTGTAGCCTCCTTTCATTATGTCCTAAAAAAATAAAAATAAAAAAACGCTCTCACAAATTTGTATTCATCAACTACTAATGGCAATTCTATACTACTATACCAAAGACCCCCGAATGGATGTCTTGTTTTTTATCCATATATGTTTATGTGTTATTTTCCAATATGGAAAGATTACCCTTTTCGCCATTTTCTGCCATGAACATATTCTCTTCATATTCAGCAGCAGCATACCCATGGCTTGCATTTTCTTTTCTAATCATTATCATGCTTGCCAATAACCAAGAGTTTTTGTGAACATATTGCTATTTATAGGGGCGAGCATGGGTTAATTCGATTTGGTTCCAAGGCAAGACCAAGCAAAACCTAGAACCTACAAGTCCAAGTTTGGCATTATCAAGATTATATTGGTTCCAAGGTTGGATTTTGCCTAGGCGATTCCAAGGTCATTATAAGGTTTACCCATGGAACCTACTCTTTCTTTTATCACCTCTTGCCAAGAAAAGGGAAAACATTCTTTAAAAGCTTGATTTTCATCAATAATAATAATAATAATAAAATTCAAAACTTACATTAACTTTATTAATTAAATCCAGTAATTTAATTTGTAGATTATCATAATATATAATATATAATTCAAATTTTGTAATTATAATTTATATTTTGTAAATATTACTTTTTACTTTACTTATCATACACATTCAAGTATTAAATTGAAGAAATATTATCAAATTACTTAAGTCATTCAATGGTCAAGTGAGACCATGGCTATGGTAACCGAGTAATTGGGTTCAAATCTTCACACACTCAAAAGATTTTGGGATTTATTTCAAGACAAGTTCAATTCCATGGCAGGTTCCACCAAGGTCAATTCCCTAAGTCAGTTTGAGTAGGGTAAACCCATAGACCCTAGAACTGGCTTGGGTGGGCATTAATTCCAAGAATTTGAAACTAGACCCCTCTCCTGTAAAAGATTGGGTAGGGTCAGTTCAAGGCAGATTCCATTATGTTTCAAGTAGAACCTACCCATTTGTTTTCTCCCTCTCTAATCTTGCCAAAGTGCGTGGAGGTTTCTTAGTTATTTCATTAAAATCTTCTATGATCATGTTAATCTGGATCTTAGTTCTTGCTTTAGTAGAACAATATATTGCTGGAGATGATTAAGTATTTTTTTCCTTTTATATCTTCTGAGATACGAATTAATTTCTCCTCTTGTTTGAGAGTTTACTTAGTCTCAACTTGTGCAAAAAGGGAAGCTTCCATTTCTTCACAAATTTCCTGGTTTTTCACTAAGGCAGCTTCTAGGTATATGTTTGGCATCGATGTTGCAGATATAGCACCGTTTTCATGGTGCTGCTGATGTGTGGGTTGGAAGCACCGTTTTCTAAGAAAACGGTGTCTTTTTTTTTTGGAAATGTTGCTGCCAGGTAGGACATTTCCTAGAGCAACAACAACGTTTTCTATTTGGTACCAATGCTCCAGGAAACATTTTCAGCATTGGTACCTATTATCTAGTGCCACGTCATGTCCCTATCACTGCCACCTCATGTCCTTGTTGGCAGCAACGAGCTGCAGCTCCAGGAAACGCCAAATTTGGCGTTGCTCCAAGCCACGCCTTCCCAATTTCTAAGGCAGGGCTTGGAGCACCGTTTTTATAAAAAAGCGATTCCAAACAAATAGACATTTCCTAAAGCACCATTTTTTTTGACGTGGTGCTAATGTGTCACCATTTTCTGGAGCAACGACATGGATGCCAAACAGACGCTAGATGATTGACAAACAAACTTCTACTTGTCCAATTGAAATTCAATCTAGTTCTTATTTATGTTTACAATTTAATTCTTATTGCTAATGTTTCTGTCATCTCTCGTTCTTCTTTGATCTCATCATTGACTTTTCTTCACCCATGTTTGGAAATACTTATTGAAATAAACACTTATTTGAGGCCAGATCCAAGTCAATAAATACACATTGGCATTTGGTAAGTCAGCCCATTTTGGATAAGCAACCAAGAAGGTGCTCACTCCAATCCAAATGTCCAATGTTTAGATGGTGTTTGGTGTTGTTGGAGTTTCATGGAAATCGAATTTTCCTTTCCTCCTTCACTTCTGTTTTTTGGAAACGTTTTCATCCTATGGTTCCCTTGTTTTCTATGTTGAAAACACCCAAGCACACATGTCCCAAACCCTGATGCAATATTGGTTTGTAAATACAACTGTATATTACATGAACTAGATGCTCATCCAACGCCCTAGATTAACCTCTTAGGACCTAGCAGTCAAAAAATCCTGAAAAAGAGATCCAATGGTCCAAATTTATCTATACCCTTACCTCCATGTTAACCGATGTAATATCATTAGTCTAACCTTTAAAAAAATGTAATATTGATCTAACGGTCCAAATTTATCCACCATTTTCTACACGTTAATATGACAAATCTCACGTTTAAAAACATATGATGCTGGAAAGGCATTGATACTAGAAAGGTTTTGACCAATCATAACCCTATGAATTTTGATGAAAACCTATTTGATTAGTTATCACTTTTATGATCCCGGTTGGATGGTTATAAGTTTTTCAAATATCATATCTCTCCAGTTGATTGGTGTTGTAAAAAAATAATAAATAAAGAGGCAGAATGGAACTTATCGGTAATCGCTTTTCAAACCAAAGTTGCAGTAGTGTGAAGTTGTTGCAGGAACTTGAAACTAGGAATTGCAAGAAGATGGAGGGCTGAGTCGTGCCACTTGGTCACTTTCCTTAAAACCGTATTTGCCCCCTATGGTGTAGCCGGGTGATCGCAAACCGATCACCAAGATAAAACAGCCYGCAGGCCACTGGTAGACGTGCACTCGCTTATCAGACTTTCGTGAACCACACAAGATTGATGCTCAAATTTCTCAGAGAAAACAAGAATGTCGAAAATGGTGTGTGTGTGTGTAAACTGGGTCGATCAACACTCTTCTTATAGAGTGCTCTCAGACCCGAATGGACACAGATGTGTCCTTTTAGATAGGAGCCTCTTCAGAACAGTACACCTATTCGAAGAGGCACAAGAAGGAAGAAGAGACACGAAAAAAAGAAAACAATTTTATTTAAAAAATTAAATTTGAATTTGAAGAGACATGCTTTAAAATTGACAAGGTGTAATTTGGATAAAACAAAATGATTCAATGCATCGTGTGTACACATGTGCACGTGCACCCCCAACCCCCCCTCACATGCATGAAATATCTATAGTCCTGTCCTGTCCTCCTAAGGGTCCCTA